TCCTTTTTCCTTCCATTTTCCCCAGCATCATTGTCTTCTCCAAGCTTTCCTGTCTTCTCATGATGTGGCCAAAGTACTTCATCTTTGCTTCTAATAGCCTTCCCTCCAATGAACAGTTGGGCTTTATTTCCTGAAGTATGGACTGGTTGGATCTTCTTGCAGTCCAAAGCACTCTCAGAATTTTCCTCCAACACCACAGTTCAAAAGTGTCTCTCTTCCTTCACTCAGCCTTCCTTATGGTCCAGCTCTCACCTCCGTAGGTTACTACAGGGAATACCATTGTTTTAACTATGTGGATCTTCATTGTTAGTGTGATGTCTCTACTCCTCACTATATTATCAAGATTGGTCATTGCTCTCCTCCTCCTCCTAAACAATATAATATGTAAATAATACTTACATAATTTAGGAAAAATCAAATTCAAAAATATGTTTGGTCCCAACCATTTTGCATGAGGATTACTCAAACAGCATTTTAATGTATTTTAGGGTCTTTCCACACAGCAATATAACTCCAAATATCAAGGCAGAAAATCCCACAATATCTGCTTTGAACTGGGCTATCTGAGTCCATGTTCTGGAACAGCTGTTCCAGGAGCTCCAATTTTATTTGCTTTGAATTAAATGTTGGTTTGCAATCCAAGGCTTGGGATTTTGCTGCAGGGTGGCTTCCTGTTATAGTTTGCAATCATAGGGCAAGCCACCTGTCTATTATAGTTAGGATCCCTGGTCCCGCCCCTCTCTGGGTTTTTTGGAGGGAAGGGGGCATTTTTCAGTTAGTCTCAGCAAAGGTAGTAAATGCAGAGGATGTATACAGACGTCCTCCTGTGCAAAGGCTTCGTCCCTTAAGACTTTCCGGGGGAGAACAGTCTTGAGAGCCTCTGACGATTCCCAAAGGTTCCGGGGAAACAGCCTTACAGCCCTGAGGAATTCCGGAGGGAATAACAGCTCTAACCATCAAAGCAGCTAAGCGATTACGAGCCTTTTGATAGGTTCGTTCAGCGTTGATACGCAGTTCAGCCCGGTAGTGAATCCACATCAATAAGGTTTAGGTTCACAGCAGTCTGGGAGGAGCTAGAAAGGGGAATTTTCCTTTAAACAAGGTTTTTTGAAGATAGTGCCTGTTCCCTGTGAACAAGATTGCAAGAGCTAAGAGACTGTTAAGAAAGCTTTACAATTCCTGTTTGTTCATCAATAAAAGACTGTTATATTTAAGCTCAAGCCTCATAAAGACTGTCTAATAAGGGAAATTTCTCTAAAGGCTTCTTTTCGGGGGCCCTGGCTTCCCGCTGGATCCAAGCCATACATCCTCTCTTAAAGGCACTTCATTTCAGGTCCAGCGGCGACAGAACAGTTCACACTCAGATAATGTGGGATTTTTCTACCTTGATATTCTGGGATATAGGGCCCTCACAATATCTGCTTTGAAGTGGGTTATCCTGGGCCTTTCCCACACAGTTGAATAGAATCCCACATTTTCTACTTTGAACTGGAATATATGGCAGTGTGGACTCAGATAACCCAGTTCAAAGCAAACAGTGTGGGTTTTTCTGCCTTGATATTCTGGGTTCTATGACTGTGTGGAAGGGCCCTGAGTCCACACTGCCATATATCCAGTTCAAAGCAGATAATGTGGGAATTTATTTAGCTGTGTGGAAGGGGCCTAACTACAGGCCCTATATCCCATTATCTAATCTCAGGTTTTCTGTTTATCCCAGGTTATCTGGCATTGGGGGCTCATATATTTATTTATTGCATTTGTATACTGCCTTTCTCAGCCAGAGGCGACTCAAAATAATCCAGTTTAATATAATAAATAATATAATATATATTAAATTATATAATATATTATATATATAATATAACTGCCATATAATCCCTTTAATACAGAAAACCTGGGATCGGATCCTGGAATATAGGGTCCCTTCTGCACTGCCATATAATTCAGATTATTATATATATTATATTATAATATATATTATAATATAAAATATATACAATATAATAACTGCTATATAATCCAGTTTAATACAGAATATCTGGGATGGGATCCTGGAATGTAGGGTTCCTTCAACACATATAATCCAGATTATCTGCTTTGAATCGGATTATATGAGTCTACACTGCCATATAATCCAGTTCAAAGCAGATGATCTGGATTTTATATGGCAGTTGAGAAGGGGCCTAAGGTTCCTTCCACACAGCCATATAACCCGGAATATCAAGGCAGAAAATCCACAATATTTGCTTTGAACTGGATTATATGAGTCCATACTGCCATATAATCCTGCTTTGAATCGGATTATATGAGTCTACACTGCCATATAATCCAGTTCAAAGCAGAAGATCTGGATTTTATATGGCAGTTGAGAAGGGGCCTAAGGTTCCTTCCACACAGCCATATAATCCAGAATATCAAGGCAGAAAATCCGCAATATTTGCTTTGAACTGGATTATATGAGTCTACACTGCCATATAATCCAGTTCAAAGCAGAAGATCTGGATTTTATATGGCAGTTGAGAAGGGGCCTAAGGGTCCTTCCACACAGCCATATAACCCGGAATATCAAGGCAGAAAATCCGCAATATTTGCTTTGAACTGGATTATATGAGTCTACACTGCCATATAATCCAGTTCAAAGCAGAAGATCTGGATTTTATATGGCAGTTGAGAAGGGGCCTAAGGGTCCTTCCACACAGCCATATAACCCGGAATATCAAGGCAGATAATCCGCAATATTTGCTTTGAACTGGATTATCTGAGTCCATACTGCCATATAATCCGGTCCAATGTGGATTTTATGCAGTTCTGTGGAAGGGTCCTAAGAAACAGGCCAATTAATGCGGATAGATAGGCTTACGCAAGCCAAGCAGGCTTGTTGTTGTGTTGTTCATTCGTTCAGTCGTCTCCGACTCTTCGTGACCTCATGGACCAGCCCACCAGAGCTCCCTGTCGGCCGTTACCACCCCAGCTCCTTCAAGGTCAGTCCAGTCACTTCAAGGATGCCATCCATCCATCTTGCCCTTGGTCGGCCCCGCTTCCTTTTGCCTTCCACTTTCCCCAGCATAATTGTCTTCTCTAGGCTTTCCTGTCTCCTCATGATGTGGCCAAAGTACTTCAACTTTGTCTCTAGTAGCTTTCCCTCCAGTGAGCAGTCGGGCTTTATTTCCTGGAGGATGGACTGGTTGGATCTTCTCGCAGTCCAAGGCACTCTCAGAACTTTCCTCCAGCACCACAGCTCAAAAGCATCGATCTTCCTTCGCTCAGCCTTCCCTAAGGTCCAGCTCTCACATCCGTAGGTGACTACAGGGAATACCATGGCTTTGACTAGGCGGATCTTTGTTGCCAGTCTGATGTCTCTACTCTTTACTATTTTATCGAGACTGGACATTGCTCTCCTCCCAAGAAGTAAGCGTCTTCTGATTTCCTGGCTACAGTCTGCATCTTCAGTAATCTTTGCACCTAGAAATACAAAGTCTGTCACGGCCTCCACGGTTTCTCCCTCTATTTTCCAGTTGTCAATCATTCTTGTTGCCATAATCTTGGTTTTTTTTGACGTTTAGCTGCAACCCGGCTTTTGCGCTTTCTTCTTTCACCTTGATTAGAAGGCTCCTCAGCTCCTCCTCGCTTTCGGCCATCAGAGTGGTGTCATCTGCATATCTGAGGTTGTTAATGTTTCTTCCAGCAATTTTCGCCCCAGCTTTGCATTCATCCAGCCCCGCACATCGCATGATGTGTTCTGCATACAAGTTAAAAAGGTTGGGTGAGAGGATGCAGCCTTGCCGTATGCCTTTCCCAATCTTGAACCAGTCTGTTGTTCCGTGGTCAGTTCTGACTGTTGCTACTTGGTCCTTGTACAGATTCCTCAGGAGAGAGACAAGGTGGCTTGGGATGCCCATCCCACTAAGAACTTGCCACAATTTATTATGATCCACACAGTCAAAGGCTTTAGAATAGTCAATGAAGCAGAAGTAGATGTTTTTCTGAAACTCCCTCCCTTTCTCCATTATCCAGCGGATATTGGCAATTTGGTCTCTCGTTCCTCTACCTTTTCTAAACCCAGCTTGAACATCTGGCAACTCTCGCTCCATGTATTGCTGGAGTCTTCCTTGCAGGATCTTGAGCATTACCTTACTGGCATGAGAAATAAGGGCCACTGTACAGAAGTTTGAGCAGTCTTTAGCATTTCCCTTTTTTGGTATGGGGATATAAGTTGATTTTTTCCAGTCTGATGGCCATTTTTGTGTTTTCCATATTTGCTGGCATATGGCATGCATCACCTTGACAGCATCATCTTTCAAGATTTTAAACAGTTCAGCTGGGATCCCGTCGTCTCCTGCTGCCTTGTTGTTAGCAATGCTTCTTAAGGCCCATTCAACCTCACTCCTCAGGATGTCTGGTTCTAATTCATTCACCACACCGTCAAAACTATCCTCAATGTTATTATCACAAAGGCCCTTCTGAAGGGAAAGAAATGGGAGTTGCAATACATTCCTACAGCGTGAGCTCTTTTTTCCCCCTCTGGTGCGCATGCGCGCAGGACAAAAGTAGCTCTTTTCTCCCCCTCTGATGCGCATGCGCGGAGGGCAGAAGCCGCCCGGGGGAGCCCTTTGAGGACAAGAACCCGCCCTGGTTTGGTTTTTGTGACGCGCTCTAACATGCCATCCCTTTCCATATTTGCATAGCCACGCCCACCAAGAGGCGAGGGGGGAGGGGGAGGGGAGCGAGCACTTTTGACAGTCAGGAATCCAGGAGGGGGGATGTATTTGTTATTAGCATAAGCCACGCCCCTTTGCTGGCCTCCTATTGGCCAGCGGGGAGGAGGGGCGCGCGCAAGCAAACGGCGGTTTGCAGCGAGGAAGGAGCGGGGGGGGGGGGGGGGGGAAGTCTCTCCGCGCTTCTGGATTGGAAGCGGCAGCTTGTCTATCAAAGAGAAAGAGCAGAAGGGGGCGGGACTTGAGGGGAGATTGAGAGAAGGGAGGGAGGGCCGCGGCGGAAGGGGTCTCACTTCCGCTTTGGTGTCAGCGGGTCTCGTTGAGGAAGGAAGGAGGGAAGGGAGCGCGCGCGCCTGGCAGGTAACCAACCGTCGCTCGGCCTCTCATTTGTTGTCTACACGGACCGCTTGGGGGTCTCCAATTCGGGTTAGAGGTGAAGAGGGGATGGGCGAGGGATGAGGAGCAGAACCACAGACTTTGTTTTCCTTCCTCCCGTCACCCATCCTTAAAGGGGAAGCCTCCTTCCCTGTTTCTTCCAACTGATCATACACAGTGGTGATGGGAATGAATGATAGGCTTGGTTTTTGCCCCATTTGACATCATTAATGGGGGACCACTCTTTTCCCATTTCTCCCCAGTCTCTATCCCTTGGGCAAGCTTGGGCCCTCCAGGTGTTTTGGACTCCAACTCCCACTATTCCTAACAGCCACAGCCCCCTTTCTATCGACTGTAAGGAATTGTGGGAGTTGAAGTCCAAAACACCTGGAGTGTCCAAGCTTGCCCATGCCTGATCTAGACACTATACTCCTATTCATATAGGCTAGAATTGTATTTTTTTTAAAAGCTTCCTCCTCACACTATTGACTATGTTCAGCTTGTGGTCTATTAAGACTTATAGATCCCTTTCACATGTACTATAGGAACCCCAGGTGGCGCAGTGGGTTTAAACCCCTGTGCCAGCAGGACTGAAGACCGACATGTCACAGGTTCGAATCCGGGGAGAGCACAGATGAGCTTCCTCTAGCACAGTGGTTCTCCACCTTCTGAATGCCGTGACCCCTTAATACAGTCCCTCATGTTGTGGTGACCCCCAACCATAACATTGTTTTTGTTGCTACTTCATAACAGTCATTTTACTACTGTTAAAAATCATAATGTAAATAATCAGATATGCAAGATGTATTTTCATTCACTGGACCAAACTGGGCACAAATACCCAATGCACCCACATGTAAATGCTAGTGGGGTTGGGAGAGGATTGATTTTGTAATTTGGGAGTTGTAGTAGCTGGGATTTATAGTTCACCTATAATCAAAGAGCATTCTGAACTCCACCAACGATGGATTTGAACTCCCATGACCAACAGAAAACACTGGAAGGGTTTGGTGGGTATTGACCTTGAGTTTGGGAGTTGTAGTTCACCTATATCCAGAGAGCACTGTGGACTCATGCAATGGTGGATTTGGACCAAACTTGGCACAAATACTCAATATGCGCAAATGTGAACACTGGTGGAGCCTGGGGAAAATAGACCTTGACTTTTGGGAGTTGTAGTTGCTGGGATTTATAGTTCATTACAATCAAAGAACATTCTGAACTCCACCAATGATAGAATTGGCTCAAACTTCCCACATGGAATCCCCATGACCATCAGAAAATACTGTGTTTTCTGATGGTCTTTGGCAACCCCTCTGACACTCCTTCGCGACCCCCTCAGGGGTCCTGACCTCCAGGTTGAGAAACACTGCTCTAGCAGCTCCAGCTCTCACACTATTTATTTATTTATTTATTTACTTCACTTGTATACTGCTCTTCTCAGGCGACTCAGAGCGGTTAACAACCAATTCAACAGTACAAAACAGATCATTAGTCAATTAAAACAGCAATATCAATTCATTCACATCAAAACATCAATCCAACAACACACTATTGACTCATGTTCAGCTTGTGGTCTACTAAAACTTATAGATCACTTCCACATGTACTATAGGAGCCTCCGGTGACGCAGTGGGTTAAACCCCTGTGCCAGCAGGACTGAAGACCGACATCTTAGAATCACAGAATCATAGAATCAAAGAGTTGGAAGAGACCTCATGGGCCATCCAGTCCAACCCCCTGCCAAGAAGCAACAATATTACATTCAAATCACCCCTGACAGATGGCCATCCAGCCTCTGTTTAAAAGCTTCCAAAGAAGGAGCCTCCACCACACTCGGGCAGAGAGTTCCACTGCTGAACGGCTCTCACAGTCAGGAAGTTCTTCTCAATGTTCAGATGGAATCTCCTTTCTTGTAGTTTGAAGACATTGTTCCGTGTCCTAGTCTCCAGGGAAGCAGAAAACAAGCTCGCTCCCTCCTCCCTGTAACTTCCCCTCACATAGAATCATAGAATGAAAGAGTTGGAAGAGACCTCATGGGTCATCCAGTACAACCCCCTGCAAAGAAGCAGGAAAATTACATTCAAAGCACCCCTGACAGATGGCCATCTAGCCTCTGTTTAAACACCTCCAAAGAAGGAGCCTCCACCATACTCCGGGGCAGAGAGTTCCACTGCTGAACAGCTCTCACAGTCGGGAAGTTCTTCCTCATGTTCAGATGGAATCTCCTTTCTTGTAGTTTGAAGACATTGTTCCACATCCTAGTCTCCAGGGAAGCAGAGAACAAGCTTGCTCCCTCCTTCCTGTGACTTCCTCTCACATACATGGCTATCACATCTCCTCTCAACCTTCTCTTCTTCAGGCTAAACATGCCCAGCTCTTTAAGCCGCTCCTCATAGGGCTTGTTCTCCAGACCCTTGATCATTTTAGTCGCCCTCCTCTGGACACATTCCAGCTTGTCAATAACTCTCTTGAATTGTGGTGCCCAGAATTGGACACAATATTCCAGGTGTGGTCTAACCAAAGGCGGAATAGAGGGGTAGCATTACTTCCCTAGATCTAGACACTATGCTCCTATTGATGCAGGCCAAAATCCCATTGGCTTTTTTTTTTGCTATCACATGTACTATAAGGAGCCCCCAGTAGCGCAGTGGGTCAAACCCCTGTGCTGGCAGGTCGCAGGTTCGAATCCGGGGAGATCACGGATGAGCTCCCTCTATCAGCTCCAGCTCCTCATGCGGGGACATGAGAGAAGCCTCCCACAAGGATGGTAAAAACATTGAAATATCTGGGCATCCCCTGGGCAACATCCTTGCAGACACACCAGAAGCGACTTACAGTTTCTCAAGTTGCTCCTGACACAACCAAAACAACAATAACAACAACATGTACTATAGACAATTCCGTTTTCATTCGTTCTATATTTATGCTACACCTAAGGCAGGTAACTGCATGGTAAAAATGGTTGCATTAAGAGTTACTGGACATATCTGCTGGGAAAAGTTGTCCCACTTGCACGCAGCTACAAGATGTTTGTGACCAGTAACACAGACTTTTCCATTCTTTATCCTGGTATTACTTGAATTGTGAAGTGCACATATAAGTCTTCTAATATTTATTTATTTTCTATATTTATATCCCACACTTCTCAACCCCCAAGGGGATTGAAGGCGGCTTACAGCAGAAGCAAAATTCAATAACTGAAACAATTCAACAATTAAATAACATTTAGTTAAAAATCTAAACAAGGTTAAAAGTAATTAAAACATAAACAATACCATTTACAGTTATAAAATCATGATATGCATGGTCAAGGTCGGGCCATTCCAATTATCATTACCTGTAAATTCAAGTCATCTATTGCACTGTATTAGTTGCTGAAGGCTTGGTCACAAGCCATGTTTCCATGCTTGCTAGTTCTTGTACATTTTTTATTCATTGGAGCAGTTCCAAATCTGGTTTTATTGAATTTTAATGTAAAGAAGAAAGACATATTTTGAGCCTATTTGGTTTCACATTTTAGTCTACTTGAACTCATAACAACCAAATCCCTATACCAGTTTTCAATTAGAGCAGTGTAGTTTTCCTACATGCTTTTAACATACCGGTATATAGATGGATCTCTGTATCCGTGGATTTTGTTTCCATGGATTCAACCAACCACCGCCCTTGCCCACCATGCAAATAATAATAATAATAATAAATGTTTATTTTGTCATATTAGGGACACCATTATATATAATGGTTCTTGAGAATGCATGGATTTTGCCATCCATGGACAATCCTGGAACCAAACCCCAGCAGATACTAAGCACCCACTGTGTATGCCATCTCTAGAAATTTTTCCATTTGCTAAATCACCCAGTATATCTATGGAACTACACAATGTCACCAGGGAAACTTCCAGGTATATTTGTAAGCACATAAAATATTTATTTATTTATATGAGTCTATTTTTACCCTGCTTTTCCCCCGCAATAAGGTGAGACTCAAAGCGGCTAACAATACAATAAGAACTTACAAAGTAAAAACTAAAACAAATTAAAACCCTACAAATTCCTTATTGCAACCTGATTATTGCGAACTGTCAGTGATAAAATCTCTATTTACAATATAACATACATATTTGAAATCATTAATTAACCCTATTGGGAGCCAAGTTCCTGTGCTCATAGAATTAGAGCAGTGGTCTCCAAAACACCTGGAGGCCCAAATTATGAACCTGTGATTTCAGGGGTAGCATGACCCCATTCAGTACAGGTGGTGTTACTCTTCCCGGGCCCGTCATACGGGAGACCAAGAGTACCTCCATCTTGTCTGGAGTAAGCTTCAACTAATTCACCCTCATCCAATCCATGACAGCTGATAAACACCCATGCCTGTCATAGAATAACAACAACTGCAGGTTGACCACCTCTTCTCCTGAATTCCCAAATCCAAAATATTGTCCACATGGGTGACTGAGGGCCCTTCCAGACAGGCCGTATATCCCAGAATCTGATCCTAGGTTTGCTGTTTATGCAAGATTATCTGGCAGTGGGGAGTCATATAATCCTGTTTAAAGCAGAAAACCTGGATTCTGATCCTGGGATATAGGGTCTTTCTGGAAGGGCCCTGAGACAGTGACACTTTTGCTTTGTGACAGTTCAGTATGCATAGACTTTGTTTTGTGCACAACAGTATTAGAACAATGTATATAAAAATACTTTCAGGCTACAGGTATAAGGTGTCTATGAAAGATTAATAAATTTCATATTCAGATTCCATCTCCAAGGTACCTTGTTATGTACGTTTATACCAATACAGGTATTTAAAAATATTTAAAATACTTATTATCCCAGGTAAAGGATATTTAACTCATGGTATTTTTGTCATTACTATAGGGTTGTAATAATAATTATTTCTATTTCTCCTTTTCCCCAGATTGGGACTTAAAGTGGCTTTCCACAATTGAAAATGCATTGTTTAAAATCCTCTTTTTGGCT